GAGAATGAAGGATGTGAAGCTTTTATTTAAAACTCCTAACTTATTTTATTATTTTGTCTACAATAGAAAGTATGTACCCTGTAATGACCATGTTGAACTGATTGATAATGTATTTAGTTGAATGAATGAAAAAATAACTCTCGTTTCTTCTACTCTCCTCTGTTTTTCTCTATTTTTTGTTTTGATACTTTTTGGCTCTCTTCCATTCTTGAAGTGTTAGAGGTGGATCTTGTTTAGAGCTCTTTCACACAAAAGAAAGTTGCTAACATATTCCATGTTTTAAAACCTTCTTAAATAAGCATTTTAGGACGGTCTTTCGATTCAATTGCAAAAGAGCCTTACCAGGGCTTGACACGACTTGAATTTTCTTGAAAGAGAGGAGTTCTTTCGAAAACGTGGGTTCCTTATCAGCTGCATTTTATTTGAGCCAGCAGCAATGTATTTTCTGATTCAAACTTATTACTGATTACATATTTATTTCTTGTTTGTACATGCATGCAGCCTTTATGAAAATGAAACTAGCGGGGTTTCTTTTGATTGCTGTGATGGTATGCTTTTGCAAGGCAGCTGCTCCTCGCAGAGCTCTGGTTAGCAGCAGTAAAATACACAACATAAAACAGCAAGAACAAGTTGAAATTGCAGCAGAGAGATTTGAAAAGGGGTTATGTGCAGGGCGGACAACCGGATGCCACCGGCAGTGTTGACAATCATCATAACATACCTAGACAGTACTACGGCCAGTGGGGTAGCAGTTCTAATGGAGGCGATGGTCATGACGCTCCTATTGACATAAATGGAACTGGCTGATATATTTATAGTATGTATTGCATGCATGATCATGTTATATCATATAAATGTAAATATGTCTCTGTACTGTACTGTAATGTAACTTCTATATGGATGATAGAAATGTTCAGAGCTTGTTCGGATTTTATTATTAGTTGCTTATAATTTAGCCTTCCTTTAGGGAAAAAAATTAAATCAATTCTAAACGGTCAAACTTTATTTTTTAACCACATATTTTAATTGACTCACAAGTCCTATCTATTTATTCATCATTCATTTTTATCTATTTATAAATTAAACCCTTCATAAATGGTACTTTGAAATTAAAATATGGCAAGAATAAAAAGAATAGGTGACTCGAAAATAAATAAAAACTACAGTAAACTTTAATATATGACTACAGTTTGTTTGTAGCCAACCGCTGCTCGGCCGGACAACGAAAAGCTCGCCCAAATGTGAGCCAAACATTGGAAATGGTGAATCAAATGGTAGAGGCATTGACTGGGGTAGGCAATCCACAGCCACCTTTGAAACTTAAAGGTACAAGGAGATTCACGGATAAGAAAAATGTAGAGATCTAATGCCATTTAAATAATGATCTTTTGAGGTATTGTCGTATTGAGTCATTGGTTATAGATATGGAAAGATTTTTCATAATAGTATTATTTTTTCAGGTATTATTGGGTAATAGGCGCAAAACGTTCCTACCTATGACGAGTTGTGTGGAAAACGTCCCTTATGATTTTTTGGTGCAGAACGTCCCTACCTTTACATTTTTTTGCACAAAACGTCATTTTCACCAATTTTTAACATAAAATGACAATTATACCCTCCTATATATAATAAAGCAAAAATAAAATAAAATAAAAATAAAAAATAAATTGCAATCTGCTCCTCAACTTTTTTAAAAATACAAATCAGTCCAAACTTATAAAAATATTAAA